TTTTTTTTTGTATGTAATTGGAACTGATTTCTTGTGAAAAACCTGAATCCTGTTGGAAACACTGCCAAGGACAAAATAGAGATTCCTTCCAAAAAGATAATTCAAGAAGAAAAAGAGCATTTTCCAGAAGAATATTTCTGTCTGTCTCACTCTCAACTGTTGAGTGAATATGGAAAAAAAACAACTGTTGGATGAATATGCTGCTGATGAATGAGAGCAGAGGCTAAAGTGGACCTTTCTGGCATAAATGAGAAACATTGTGTTTGGCGATAATGAAAAACTCTATTTTAACACAATCTTATCCAAGCACTGAAGTGGGAGTATTATAGTTTTGGGTAGGTTTATGGAGCCTGGGGATCTGAGCAGCTTGCGGTCATTTAGAAAACACTAGATTTGTGCATTTAGGAATCGCCAAAGCCAAAATCCACAACTTATCTGTAATGTGTGTGTGTGCAGGGGTCCATACAGGCGAGCTGATGAGGATGATGATGGTGAGTGAGCTCTTGCTGTAGAGTCTGATGGTTTGGTAATGATGGACGTCCCTAATGGCCAGCCCAGCGTCTTCACCTTCACGACCCCGGCCTCAGAGGTCAGTGAACGCACAAATGCTGTTTGCCTGCTTCAGATGACAAAAACCTCCTTTCACTCAATTGTATGTGTTTCATCATCTCTCTTCCCCCGATCCTGTCACTGTTTCCTCCAGAGGAGCAGCAGTTCTGAGTCCCTCAGTGAGAAGGGCCCCTCAGAGCTCAAGAGTTTTGATGCTGTGGTGTTCGACGTGCTGAAGGTCACGCCGGAGGAATATGCAGTAAGTCAGAAAAATATTACTATTGCGATAATACTGTTACACTGTAAAAGAGTATATAATAATAACAATAATAATAATATTTTATTATTATTATTAATAAATGCTTTTATTTTATAGTACAGTGATATTATTGCCAAAGTAATATAACTTTATTTTTATAAGTGTTATAATTTAAATAATAATAAAATATTGTTAATAATAATATGTTTTATTACTTTTAGTAGACTTTTAGTATTATTATTAGTAGTAGTATTGCTAAATAATAATTTTTTATTGTTACAGTACAGTATTATTGCAATAGCAATATAATAATAATAATAATAATTATTATTATTATTATTATTATTATAAAGGACAATATTACTATTGCAATAATACTATTATACTGTAAAATAGTATATAATAGTAATAATGATGATAAAAATAAAACTTATTTATTATTGTTATTATTATTATTATTATTACTACTACTATTATTATTATTATACTTTTATTTTATGGTAGAGAGAGAGAGAGAGAGAGAGAGAGAGAGAGAGAGAGAGAGAGAGAGAGAGAGAGAGAGAGAGAGAGAGAGAGAGAGAGAGAGAGAGAGAGAGAGAGAGAGAGAGTAGTAAATACTTCAGTACAGTTTCAGTAATAATTAATGATCGTTTGGCAGACAGTTGTGCAGGCAGCGATGCCCTCTAGAGTTAAATACCAGAATCCGAGCAAGGCCATCAAGCTCTCCTCTCTCCGGTGATACAAGGACTCGGTTTCAAATGAAACTCCCAGCTGAACTCTCTTCTGAACTTGAGGAAAAGATACACAGCCGCTTGTTGACTCATACTTGCTTTAACCAAGCAGCAATCTGTGATGAATCACTCGCAGCTGGAGAACTGACTTGATTTTAGCATTGTATTTCTCCTTGTAGTCCGCTTATAATGTTACTAAAGTTTTTTGCACCAGAAACACTCAAAATGAGTTTTTCATGATCATTTACTACTTTCTTTATGATCCTCAGAATTAAATCAAACAGGCTGTTTTTGCTACTGTACCTTTTAGACTTTATGTAAATTATCTGTTATGACCGGCTAATCTTCATGTGATGAAAGGTGCAGTTCACACTACTGATTATTTAATACAAATTAAATGACTAAATAAGGGCGGTTTATCTCACTGATTTGATTCAACTCTGACTTGCAGTTTCTCGATTCAGTTTGATTTTGATTTGATTTGATTTGAGGGGATGATATAACACAAGAGCTGCCTGGAAAAAGTTACACACATTTATTTTCTTAGAGAGCGGAGAACATTTACAGAATTAATAGAGCAGCACAATCCATCTTGTGAAATCAATGAGTCACAGAAAGCTGTGTTACGGTTCAATTTTCACTCTTCTAATGAATAAAAACTCAATTTTCTCAATATCAAATAAAGGTTGATCATTGAAGTTGATTCATCAAATAAAAGTTGATAAGTTAATCAGTGTTTTATTTTATTATGATTTTTTTTTTGTTTTTTTTTAGCGTCAGTTTCCTTCAGCTTTATAATAATGAAAAACCTGAGCTGCTACGAAAGGCAAAACTAGATTGTAAATTCTAGTCAGATGTCCAAAACCAAGCAAAGCTTCTATTACCGGTGGAAGCAGTGTAATAAATACGTGTGACATATCTGATAGTGTCACCAGAGGACGCTCTCTGTGTTTCTACCCTGATGTAAATGCGCTGACCTGATTCTGTACACATCTGCCTGAAAGTGTCTTTATCTGGGGTACAGAGTTTCTTTCTGTGCTTTATTTATTTATGGCCCAACCTATTAACCTATATACAGTACATCATCCCAGTCGCAGTCTCAAGCCTGTGCTGAAGTGTGTTTTATTTATGCGCACGATGACCCCACACACGCGACATTCATGCATGTGTGGAAAATAACTTGTGAATGGCAACTGAGCAGTGGACAAAAGAGGATTTATTATTCATGTGTCTGTTAGATAGTGTGTAGACCATTCACACACTCTCATGTTAGGATGGATAGTGAAGTCGAGTCTGGTTTCAAATAAGCCCATAAATACAGAAACTCTCCTGTAATAAATGCTTATTTTACAACATCTCAAAGGTAGCATCTACGTCACGTCTAGTGTCAACAGTGTCTTCCATCATATGTGACATTTATAATGTTATATTTTGTGCTGATGTCATCTGTGTTGTCCTGCAGGGTCAGATCACTCTCATGGATGCTCCAGTGTTCAAAGCCATCCAACCTGAGGTAAGTCCATTGTTCATTAGTGTGTGCTAACTTATGTACAGCGTCCAAATGTTACATTTTACCACTCCTTCCAGTTGCTGGTAAATAAAGAAAATGTGATGTGTATGGAATTTTTTTAGATCTCAATATTTAGATTTTTTTGCACCCTCAGATTCCAGATTTTCAAATAGTTGTATCTCGGCCAAATATTGTCCTATCCTTATCCTTATGGTTTTGTGGTCCAGGGTCACATATTTCTCTCGTTGAATAGACTTTCTCACTCTGAAGAAAAGTTGGTCACAGTTTCCATTTCAAACATCAGGAAAAAAAAATAAAAAATAAACCTCTGATGGTAAAGCTGTCCACTTAGGGAAAGTAGAAGATGTACAAGTTGCAATTTGTTTTTGTTTTTTTGTAGCTGGTTATGTTCATGATTTGAATCACTCACTTCACTTCAGTTGAGGTCAGACTGCTTAAAACATTATGTTGCTGTTACTAATACAGTTAGCAGCCAACTGGTGAGTAACTTTTTATTTACATGCCAGAGGCATTTTTTTCTCTCATTTAGTGCTTTCAGAATATTTGTTTTGGTCGGGGTTTTCTGAAGTAAGGGTCCCATACCAAATTTGTTTGCGTTTTTGAAAGCCATTGTTTTGTGAGATTACTGTGTGACTGACTCACAGGACTGTCGGTGACTGAAGTGTCATACTCTCACTGTCAGCCATACACAGTGTGTTAAATTTGGACAAGTTCAATAAATCCAGCCACTATCAATAAAATAGCTGGTGATTTTTGGGCCTGGTTTATGTGTTGCCACCGCTGTAACAGTTCCAGAGTTTCACAGCAGAGGGCAGTAAAAGCACAGTGAAATGTTTCTGTTCTTTAGGCTCTTCATCCACTGCTTCCATTGGACTGAGTGTAGACTTTAAAACACCCACACCAGATAAAATATTACACTGGAATATATATTTTTTTCTTGGCAGAGGGATTATTTAGCTGTTTTTTTTATTATTTAAATATTTGTGACAAACAGCACATTTCATTACGGCAGAAGCATTATTGCGCTAGTAGCATTATACTCAAGATGAGTCAGCCGCCTTCACTCAATAAAATGGCATCTGCCACAAAAACATAAAAATTCATAATAATTTTGTTTCAAATATGTTTGCCTTAGTCGATAAATGAATAATTCACCCCAAAATTAAAATGGTCATCATGGAACATAAATGTCTCAGATACTCTGAAAAAATGTCGCAGTGTTTTTTGTTTTGTTTTGTTTTGTTTGTTTTTGTTTTTGTGTTTTTTTTTGTGTGTGTGTGTTTTGCTTTGCTGTGCTTTTGTTTAACTATTCGTTTTGTTACGTGTTTTTCATTTTGTTTTATTTTGATTTGTCCACAATTTAAAATAAAGGGGACCAAAATGTTTTGATTCTCAACATTCGACAAAATATCTTCCTTGGTGTTCTGCTAAAGAAAGCAATTCATACAGGTTTGGAACAATATGAGGGTGAGTAAATAATGACAGGTTTTTTTGGGTGAACTGTCCCTTTAAATGTGAAGAATATTACACGTGATGGCACATGGATGGGGAAAAAACTGTGATACATATCTACAAAAGACTTGGCGACCGAACCTTAGAGGCGGTACGTCTGTAGAAGAAACCCACAGCTATATGAAGTACCAAATGCATATCTGGTTATTTTCCTTATTGACATCTGGGCCTTGGTCTCCATTCACTGCCCTCCATGTCGTCCTCCCTCTCTCTCTGCTCTTTGAACGATTTATTAGCGCAGGCATGTTTTATCCACCGTCTGTAAGGTTGGGCTTTCAGCCACACAGACTGTGATTTATAAAGCATTTGATGAGGCTACCACACATTGAATACTAATGTAGCGTTTGGGGCTTTTTTTTCTGACTGTAAGAGACAAAATCATGACGACTGAGGGGAACTAAATGTTATATGATTTGTTTAATGCGTTTGTGGGAAATTACTGTGGCTGGCGTGCATTTTTTTGTCATTATTTATGGTAATTACAGTAATTTGTGTAATTAGGCCTACTGTTTTCTGTCGTTGAGCGGTTTGATTGATTATGCAGCGGCATTGTTTGGCTTTGATCGTCTTGGCAGCAGTTTTTTGGATGCTTGCTTGGAGAGGAGAGGGTGAAATTGCAAGTCGCCTCTTTGGAAAGACGAGGTCTGGTTCTCTGGAAGACGATACTGAGCTAACCTCTGATTTTTAAAATGTCTGGGATTGATTTAGCGAGGCGGTTTAGCCAACATGCATATCAGTCGACAAATAATGTGTATAGATGATGGTTCTTTCTAGATTTTCTGGATCTGATCTGGCTTTCTGTCTCGTTTTGTGTGTATCTGGCCGTTTTAGTATTCTGTGGAAGTGATTTGTTGAAGGATTATTTGCGCTTTCTCTGAATCTGGCAGCACATCCATTTGCGTCGTTGTGTAACATGAGAGTAAAAGGCAGAGGGTGACGTAATGTGAATGTCAGGCTACTGCTTTATCACGCACTGTTGTTTCTGATATTACACACTGTAAATTTTGTGTGTTAGTGCTAGGACAAAAGATAGTGTAGATGTATTCTTATTTTGACAAAAAAATATGTTGTTCTGGTGATTGTTAGATTTAATTAAAAGATATTCAAAAGTTTTATTTGAGGCACCAAATAGCAAGAAAATTATACTCCGTTTTATAGTAATTCTTTTATATTGAGGCTTTGTGTGTTTTGTGGTATGACCAAAAAAGGGTAACTATTAGGCTTGCCGTTTTGCTAATAAACGTTCTATGTTTCTTATTTATTTGGTTATGTTGACTTATTTCCAGTTTTGTATACCTATTAAACTTTATGTAAGTTATTTGTTATTTTATATTAGGCATAGCCTGCCCTATAGCATGGTGTAATTTTATTTGTTTTGTTAATAAAAAGTTCTATATTTTATATATAGGCTAAAGTGAGTTTGACGTTGTAATTTGTTGTTGCATTCAAGCAATTGACGCTGAATTGCCGCTAATTCAAAAGTGAAAGTAAAATGCGCACGGCGCTTTTAAGCTATTTAAAAGCGAAGGAAAGCGACCAAGGTCATCTCCACAGTTTTGAGCGTGTTGAGCTCCAAGCTGTTGAGACTGCACCAGACAGCCAGCTGCTCGACCTCCTGTCTGTAAGCAGACTCATCACCGTCCTGAATGAGGCCGATGAGTGTGGTGTCGTCTGCAAACTTCAGGAGCTTGACAGAGGGGTCTTTAGACGTGCAGTCGTTGGTGTATCGTTATAGTTGTGGTGTGAACTATGCTATTCTTTAATATTGAGAACGATTTTTAGAACTATATCTTTATCGTTATCTTTATAGTTATCGTGCTTGGTGTGAACGGGCCTTAAGCCTGGCATAGCATCAAAATGTGAAAATTCATAAGATTAATACCATGCTATTGCTCCAAATTCACTATATTATGTCAGTGAGTGTTTAAAATGACATGAAATTGGCTTGCATTAACTGCAATTATTTAAATTTAGTAACGTTTGCTAACTAGCAGTAATGTTAAATAATATTCCATTTTGATCGTTTTAATGTTAAAGTATCGGTTTAGGCACCGGTACTGTTTTAAAAGTATCGATTTGGCACCGGTATCGTAAAAAACCCAATCGATACCCAACCCTATTCATTCATTCATTCATTCATTTACTGATTTATTCATTTATTTATATATTTATTTTGCTTCATTGTTATATCTAAATCACACTTTTCTTCCCTCTAAAAAATCACAGAAAAAGTGAACTTTAATTGGTAACTTTATTTTTCTGTTAGACAGTCCTTTCCTAAGTTCTTTTTGAGAAATGCTGCAAGGTTGACCAGACCTTATGCCTGTAGTCAAAAGTGTGTTTCTGCAAGATTGTTCACACTAATAAGGTTCAGATTAAGTGTGCAGCAGACCCATCCATATGCAGTGTGATCCTGTATGGCAGCAATATGAGCTCACGGCTGTAATGCAGACCAGAGGCTTTTGTACATGCATTAAAACACTAAAACTTCATGAAATGTCTTTTAGAGTGATATGTAAAATTACGTAACTTTTTCCAACCTACATGCATGCAAACATCTCCGGTCTGTTCTCTGTACCATCCCATTAGCCTTTTTTACAGGCGCTTATAAGCACGCTCTGACCCACAATGCCCTGGGTGGAATGGAGAGGTTTGTTTGATTTGAGTGGAATAATACAGTGATATCAGTGAACTGGCAGTCCTGCCTGTTATTATTGGTTTGCTTTAATTAATGGTGGTTTTTATCAACTCTGCAGATGTTGCTAAAGATTTTTTGATGAAGTAGCTCTATTAAAGCAGCTCGTGTTTCAGTAGAGGTTGTTAAACACATCGTAACAGAAGCCTGATGTTTTGGGGGTTTTTTGTGCCTGGGTCGACTGCAGTTCATTGAGTTTTCTATTGTCTGTGTGTGTTTTTGTTACTCTGAGGGTGTGTGTGTGTGTGTGTGTGTGTTTCTTTGCAGGGGAGGTTAATTGTTTTTGAGGCTCTGGAAGCAGGAGAGATTTCGATGATTTGTGCTCTGCTGAACTAAAGTGAAATGTGTGTGAGATAGCGAGCGATAAAGAAGCAGAAGTGGTTCTTTGTTATTCAGTGACATCTTCAATCTGAAGGTCACTTGGCCACCACGCCGTCTGTGTGCAAAAATGAGAAGTACAAAAAAGAAAAATAATGAGATTTTTTAAAATAGTTTACCCAAACTTTTGTTGTTCGAAACCAGTTTGTTTTTCTTCTGTGAAACAGAAAAGTCGGTATTTTGCAGAATGCACAGGCTGCTCTTTTCCATAGAATAAAAGCATAGTGACCTAAATAGGCACAACAAAAATATTATTAAAGTGGTACATGACTAATGTGCTATATTGCACATATTCTGAAGCCATGCTTGCTTTAGCTTTGTGAGTAACTGTGTTATTTTTTTATTATGTATGCATACTCAGATTTTTATATTTTATATACATTTTCTAGCATTTATT